AAGAAAACCAAGATTATAAGTGAACTTATGTGTGTAGAAGAACCAAAAACAAGAAGTGCTAAGGCGAAGAAGGGTACACGACGTGGTAGGAAGAGGTAGAACAGAGAACAGTTTGAAATTTTGGGGCATGTAATAATATTTGTAACTTGGTGCGTACTGGTAGTCACTATTCTATTCGTACTGGTAGAACAGAGAACAGTTTGAAAATTTAGGGCATGTAATAATATTTGGTACCTTGTCTAAAACACCCAAATAAAATTCAAATTTGGGCTCAAATTTGAATTAGGGATGGGGTATTGATGTTTTAATGCTATCTAAAGTACCTCAACTGAAATATGTTTGCTTGCTGATCATTCCGAGCCCTTTTGGTAAGTTGAACTCATAGTCATGAAAAGTGTGTTTCAAATGACCTTCAAAGGTAGGGTAAACGACCTCATATTTAAGCAAGTTTTTTTGGCACCTTGTCTAAACTAGCCAAATAATTTTTCTACACATCTATTCTACCTATATAGTGTAAATATAAAGTCTCACTATTTATTGAATTGATTTTCTATTATTTTCTTTTCTTTTTGAAAAAACAAGGTTTAATAGAAAATTATATATAAAACAAGTTTAAAACATGAAAATGAGAAAAGTAAGTTAAGATCTTTCTTAGTCAATCCAAAATGAAGTTTTGGTGAGGTTTTCACACTTTTCATTTTCAAAACCCCCACCTACTCTCGGGTGCGCACTACTCTCTCCCTTGAACTCCATACTACATTGTCTCAGGAATGGCAATTTTGTGAAGGGTTTTTCGTAAAAATGTATGTAAACCATATTTATATTTTTTTCTCGTTACTATACGACATAATAAGACTATGTGCGCAAGTTTCATATTTTTTTTATTTTTTTTGAATTAGTTATGCTCAACCCTAATCAGTCAAAACCCCTCAAAACCCCTCTCAAACCCCCTCAAAACCCCGCACACTATCGGGTCGTTGATCGTTGTGTGTGGACGGTTGAGATCAGGCGCTAGGGTTAGCTACAGTGTGCATCGATCCGCATGAGACGCGCTGATTGGTTGGATCGGTGGGGTTTGGATCAGCCTCTCTCGTTGGGGCATCAGGACCGTTCATTTGAATCCAACGGCAAGAGTTGAAGCGGTGCATGGACCAAGCCTACGCAGTGCCCTTTCCATCGTTGCATGTGTGCCCGTGCCTACCCGCAGCATGCATGCCCACCCGCAGAACTGCGCCCATGCATTGCATGCATGCCCGCCCTCGACGTAGCCCTGCTCCACCACCTCCAACGACGCAGTAAGCTGTCGCATGCCTACCATTACAACCAATGCAGCGTCGCATCAAAGCAAGCACCCGGCCACAATGCAGCGGGCCAGCCCGATGAAGACAACCAAAAAGCCAACGCTGCATGGCGTGCCGTGCATGGCGTGCTCCTCTTTGAGGACGCAATACTGGCATGGGGAATCGATGTGGGTATCGATGCAGTTCAAATGGCGTGCTGCCCATTACAAGATGGGCAAATGAAGGCGTCCATTATTGTCACGTCTCCCATCGACCGAACGTTGCCCTCTAGCCAAGCCCTAGCAAGATGGGCTACGACATGAATGCACGGGCGGCACACGCAGAGAACCCGGGGCAGGCGTGTCCCCTTGACCCACGACGGCACAGACGCGTGCGTGATCCCGTCCCCCTTGACCCGCGACTTGTGGCACAGAACCGTCGCAGCCCGTTTCCCACGCTCGTGTACACACTTCCATGGGGCGCCACCAAACGCCATCCGCCCATTAATTCTACCCAGTGAAACCACTCGAAGAAATCAAAAACCACGTCGCTCTTGGGCTATTTAAGCCGGGCACTATCGTCTTCCTCTCCCACCTCATGCATACCTCATCCTCTTCCTCCTCTGCCCTCCTTCTTCCTTCTTCTCCATCAAACCCGATCGAGCCCTCGAGCCACCATGCAGTACAACGCCCCACCTACCAACTCCCCCCAACCATGCCGGAAAGGCTCTACCCGAACGGAGTGTACGTGGAGAGTACCCTTAGGGTTTGGGCCATCTCAAGGTGGAGGGGTGCAAGGGAGTTGACGGAGTTCTTCCTTGCGGCCGGCTTCCGCCACCTCCCCTGCGGCTCTCCAAGGATGTACCATGTTGAGGAGGTCACCCACAACGGCGTTGTGGTTGGGCTCCTCGCTACGTTCACTAACCCATTCGGTGCTTTCTACCTCCTCGGGCGAGTGTATTGGGTTGGTTGTGAGTTCATAGCTTTCACAACCCATAACATTTTCACCAACTTCAACTCCATCTTCCCCAACAACGGCGTTATGCACACGCTCCCGTACCCAATCAACAACGACGAGTGAAGGGCGCCCGGAGGAGCGAGGTGGCCCGGCGTTCACCCGGAGGAGGAGGAGAGAAGAACCCGAAGAAGAACCCGCGTTTGGTGCCCCCCGATCTATCGTATCGTATCGTATTAGTTTTTAAGTTGTAATCGTTATGCTACTATTATTAAGTTGTATTAGTATTTTAAGTTGTAAGGCTATCATGAAGTTGTAAGGCTATCGTGGAACTATGGATTGCAATCGTTATGCTTCTATATAATCGTTATGCTACTATATATATTGTGTGTTTCGTGCTATTATTTCTAGATTGCTATGGGTTGTTCCATTATTTGTGTATTGCTATGGGTTGCTACGGGCCCGGGTTGCTACACCACAATCACCACACACACCATCTTCAAAATATTGGCCAAATAATGGGTCATGACCCAAACCATAGACATGCAACTAGGAGCCCCATGCAAACCCACTATGGACATGCAACTAGGAAATGCAAACTAATTTACTTCATGCAAGCATGCAACCCATTTAGTTCATGGAACCGTAGACATGCATAAAAACAAGTAACATTTAGTTTTAGTGCATCAAAAAATGATCCATCACAAAATTTAGTGCAAGAAAAAGACCAAAGTAAAAACAAGTAACATTTTATTTGCCGAAGTTAGAGGTGGGCTGGTGCCCCTACGCGGGTGGGCTAGTCTCTATATGGGCATGGTTATTTTCTCAGGGCCCATTTTCTCACGGCCCAACATCTATTCGGCAGCCCAGTTTTTTTATTAGAAACTGAATTTAGGTGTGTACTCTGTTAACTGAAGAACAAAACAGAGAAAACAGAGCATGAACACTGAATAGGGCCCCTGAGAATATCATTACAATAATTCAAGCAAGTTTTGCTTCACACAAATTCAAATTCATCTAACAAATGATCCCTGGCTAACTCAAACTACTGGGCACCCCTGAAACTAGCTGACTAACTAACTGAAACTCTAACAAATTCTAGCGATTGATGAACATCAAGTAAAATAAACCCATAGCAATGACACAACCATAAAATGCTCCAGCCATCATATTTGCTTGCTGTTTAAAATCGATCAGATGCTTTAGTTGCTTGCCGATTTTCTTCAATTCACACTTCAGTTCTGCACTGTGCATCATCGGATCGGCTCTATCCACCAAATTGGGGGCTTGTTCCACGGCAAGCCGGCCCCCAAAATTGAGCTCTTGGGTTGGGGTTGATCCCTCCAATTTCAACCTTTCAACATAGTCATCGAGCCACTCAAAATGCCCACATTTCTTCAGAACCTGAAAAACAGGGGGCCGGCGGCGCATGAATCCTAGATCCACCACCCAGATCCACCGCCCTAATTCGAGGAAAAAAGAAAGAAATCGGGAGAAATTAGACCATAGGATTGGTCAAGAACACAGATCTAACCTGCCCCGGCTGTGACTTGTTCAAACATTTCACAAACTCGCGCCCACAGTTGCCATTTTCTTCCCTCACACAAGTCAAACCCTTCAGAGGCTCCATGCGCGGGCAATCGGGGCATCTTGTCAACGGCAGTGGACCATACTGCGTTCATGATTGGCGGGTGGCCGAAGTCGAGCTAGACATCACTCGCCGGCGGCGCACTTCGTTGCCGGAGCAGAGGAAGAAGAAGGTGGGAAAGGAAAGGGGCAGGGCAAGCAATGGAGGGGTGCGGGCTGGCTCGGGCTCGTGGGTGGCTCGGGTCGGGGCACGCTGATGAGCACGGGCATGCTTGTGTGGATAAGTTGTGGGTCCCACCCGCATGCGAGTAACTGGTGGGTCCCGCGTGTCATAACTCAAATCGCTAACCCCTCGTGTTTTTCATTTCACGGTTAAACAGAGCCATGTTGCATTGGAGCTATTGTTGGCTTCGAAGACGTCGCTTCACAGCCATTCATTCGAACTACATCGCACTCCTTTCAATTCGCATGAAAAACGTCGCACAGGAGCTATTGGCCCTATGGAGACCGGACGTATTCTACCACCGTACCCCATCCTTTCTTCCCTTCTCTCCAGCACTCTACACGCACGCACGGCAACGCACCTCTCCTCATTCCTCTATCTCTCCCTTCTGCTAGCTCCGACGCATGCAGCCATGCCTCTGCACCACTGTTGCGCTGTGGCGTGAGATCGTACGAGTAAGGACGATTTTTCTGTTCTTCTCTAACGCCACGGGTCTTGTGGTTTGTTTGCTTGCTAAAATCTGCTCATGCGTCGCCGGTCAGCGTATATGTCGGCTCTGGCTTGAAATACAGTGACAGCACTACAGTTTGCTCCCTTTGGTCTTCCCATGCCACAAGCACGTGCTCGAGCAGCCCGTGCGTCAACTACTCTACTATCCAATCCATGGTCCCCGGCCGGCTATAGCTTCGATTTCTCTCCATGCATGCACTTGCCGCGTGAATCACCGTCACCAGTTCACCACGACCCCAGACTTGTTGTCTTGTGCGCCAGTGGACACGAACGCCGCGTACGGCCGGACGGCGACTCGTCGTCGTCGTCTTCTCGTCCAGTTAGCCCACGTCCACCCATCCTTTCTTCTCTTCTCTCCAGTGTACTCTCCACGCACGGCACCTCGCCTCCCCTCATCCTCTCTCTTCCTCCCCTCCCCTCCCAGCTTCGTGGCACCGTTCAGGGCTATGGCCACCACCGCCGCCGCACTGCCCTCGGGCTACTTCGGCTCCGTCCAGGGCCGGCCCACGCGCCTCGCTCCGGCAGCCAGCGGACGTAACTGTCTGCTCCTCCGCTGCTCCGCGTCGGGTGGTGATGGCTCTGGCGGCCCCGACCCGGTCCTCGAGGAGCAAAAGCGGCGTCGGGCCGAGCTCTCCGCTCGCGCTTCCTCTGGAGAGTTCACCGCCCCAGGCACCGGGTCAGTGCTCCCCGGCGAATTCCTCGTCGTCTCTGGCATTTCTTTCACGTGTAGCTCCGGTGGTGATCGGGTGAGGCAAGCCGTGATCTTATCTTGTTCAGTTGCTTTGTATACAAAGCGGGGGAAAACCCTTTTTCGGTAATCTTATCTTGTTCAGATGGCTGGCCAAGCTGGGCCCGCCGGGGGCGCTCGCGGTTGGGCTCCTCAAGGTAGCGGGCGTCGGCGCGGCGCGCAGGGGCCCGGAGCTGCCGCAGGTGGCAGGGTCGCTGGCTGCCGGGGACGCCATCTTCCTGCCGCTCTACGACCACTTCCTCAAACACGGCGGCGTCTTTCGCCTCAACCTCGGGCCCAAGGTGAGCGCGCCACTGAAGCTAGCGAATTGCTCCCAAAATTGCAGTGTTGTGAACCCAGCCATGTTGCTAATGGCCTCTGATTTTTTTTTCTTCTTCCAGTCTTTTGTCATCGTCTCTGATCCAGATATAGCTAAGCATATCCTCAGGGACAACTCCAAGGCTTATTCCAAGGTTTGGTTCTCTAGGCATTTTCGTTTATTTTTATCAAAAAGAGGTTATGACCCCGGGCCTCTACATCGATTGATCCAGCAGCTTTCTTTTATTGCAAAGTTACTAGTTATTTTCAACACTAAAGAAACGCCGCGCTTCAGAAATAAAAAGTATGTAGCATCCTGTTTGATTCGGTCATTGTTTGTTTGATCATGGTGGTGGTGTAGGGTATTCTTGCGGAAATACTGGAGTTTGTAATGGGTACGGGTCTGATCCCAGCTGACGGGGAGGTTTGGCGTGTTCGACGGCGTGCCATTGTACCATCATTGCATCAGAAGGTTTTGTGTGACCAATTTCGAACTAAAACCAGGACAATTATTTTGGAATGAAGAGAGTAGCTTCCTACTCGCTATTAAGGTTTTGTGTTTACTGCTTTCTTTCTATAGGAATTTTGTTCACTTTTGAATTCTGTTGAGCAGTTTGTGACGGAGATGATAGGTCTCTTTGGGAAAGCTTCAGACCGGCTGTGTCAGAAGTTGGACAAGGCGGCATTGGATGGGGCGGATGTGGAGATGGAATCTTTGTTCTCTCGACTAACATTGGATGTCATTGGGAAGGCAGTATTCAATTATGATTTTGATTCATTATCTTATGATAACGGAATGGTTGAGGTTATTATTCAGATCTCGCCGTATTACTGAGTATATTATGAAATTTCATCCACTTGTCTTCCTTTCTTTTTCTGTCAATTTACTATTCGGTTTGTTGGTGCATGATCAGGCTGTGTATATAACACTACGAGAAGCGGAAATGCGGAGCACTGCTCCTATACCAACTTGGAAAATACCAATATGGAAAGACATCTCCCCTCGGCAGAGGAAGGTTAATGAAGCTCTTGTGCTGATAAATAATGTTCTTGATGAACTAATTTCTACATGCAAGGTAAGCCCTTTCTTATACTTTGATACCAACTGTTGTGTTTAGAAAAATCATGACCCTAAGACTCCTGCTGCAGAGAATGGTAGATGAAGAAGATCTGCAGTTTCATGAGGAATATATGAATGAGCAAGATCCTAGCATTCTCCGCTTTCTATTGGCATCCGGAGAAGATGTATGGCGATATAGATGCACTTGTAAAGTATTTTAGATATTTGGGGTTTTCTTATATTCACAGTACTTCACTGTTGAACCCATCTACCTTAGGTGTCCAGCAAGCAGCTTCGTGATGATCTGATGACAATGCTCATAGCTGGCCATGAGACCTCTGCAGCAGTCCTAACATGGACATTTTACCTTCTATCTAAGGTGTGATATGGTTAACGACTCAAAACTCAATGTTGTAGTAGTAATGTAGTATAGCAGTATCATGTGATATTATATCATTGTTCATCTTCAAATTCACTGAACCATTTTTTACTTATTCTCATTCTGTTTTATATGGTGAACTTGTAGTGCCCAAAAGTAATGTCCAAGCTCCAGGCTGAGGTAGACTCAAAATTTACTTCTAATTTAGTTTTTACACGGAGGCTCACACTTCTGAATTGTAAAAATGATACTTGACATTTTGTTTGCTCAACTATCTGTAGGTTGATGATGTTCTAGGAGATGGTTTACCAACAATTGAGGATGTGAAGAAACTAAAGTATACTACTCGAGTTATTAACGAAGTAAGCACCAAAGTTTTTACCTTGTCACATAATGAGATTTGTTACTGAATGAGAATATTATCATTGTTGCAGTCTTTGAGACTATATCCACAACCGCCAGTTTTAATTCGTCGGTCCCTTGAGGATGATATGCTAGGGGAGTACCCAATCGGCAGGTAAACATTTTCTAACAAAATTACACCTGTTAGTTCACTAATATAGTTGCCAGCTTTGGTCTCAATTCATGTCTAAGGAGTAAGGATCATTTATTAATTTGTCACAAAAGCACCATGATTGCCATGTAGTTATGCTTCTTTTGTCTAATTTGGACTTTTGTGCATCTTTTTCCCTTGGATACTCGTGTGAATAGCATATTAGCATGGAGTGTTCCTACCCTTTCTCGGTCTTTTGCAGACTATTTTGCTCAACATTTTCTTTATTTGTCTTTCCTTATGTTGTTTCTGGTAGCTAAGTTTGTTTAATTGTTGTTATTGTTGGGCATTTGTATGTGTGATGTTGTTTATTTTAGTATTTCCATAGAAAACTAAAAAAATAATCTGAAAATATACTACTCTTTTCAAGGGGTGAAGACATTTTTATATCTATCTGGAATCTTCATCGCTGCCCAAAGCACTGGGATGATGCAGATGTTTTTAGTCCGGAAAGGTGGCCTTTGGACGGTCCAAATCCAAATGAGACAAACCAAAAATTCAGGTTCCATCCCTACTACTATAATGAAATGCTTTTTGGACACCATGTGTCACCCAAGCTATCAAGTTTATTAGTTGTTTCTAATTTATGTTGCAAGAACCGGAAGACCTTCGAAAGTTTTAATGTGTTAATGATGTATCTGAAATGGGATGAATTAAAATCGAATTAGAATTTTTGGTTAATGGAATAATAACTCATACCCATGGTAATCATGTTAAAATGCTAGTCCAATCAATATATTTTGTGACTATGTTGTTGCTTTGTGAGTGTCGTGAAAAATATTCACGCAAATGCTTTCACAATAACCATTACATACCATAATAGAAATTTATTCGAAATTGTAACTTTGTATAGGCTAGTAAGCTTATATGTCACAATTTTAGTAACTACTTTATACTAACAATTAAATGCTTTAACAACAACCTTTTTTAGGACGTAGGAAGGCCAAAGATGTACTCCCTTCGATCCATATTAATCATCATCACTGCTTTAGTACAACTGTACAAAGTTGTAGTAAAGCAACGACAATTAATATGGACAAGAGGGAATAGATGAATATTGCCTTCATGGGAGAGATATTACTCGAGTTTGTATAATCTTTAGTTTTATGGGCAATAAATCATATTGCTCATGCAATACATCTCTAAAGGGGGGCGGGTGTAATTGATACCTTCTTTGATATTAAATACTATCCTTTATTGAAACAAAAAAAATCTAAAGGAGTAGGGTTTCTTCAGTTGCAATGAATCTGGCATTTTGAATCGCTACGAAGGAACAATTTGAATTATTGCAGAGGGTTAAAGCAACACCATATCTCTAGATAAAACTTGTCTCCTAAGTATCCCTATGAAACTCGAAATTAGTATGAAAACAATAGTCAATACATTACGTTCTTGTGTTTTTTTCCTTGTGTTTCTCTAGTGTCACTATCTTTTCAGTTTGCATCAACACCATTATTGCAATAAAGTTGATATATGTCTTGTAAGAGCACATATTTTTAAATAAACATACAAACATATTTGTCATGTCAAATTCTTAGAGATCCATATGGTGGTTGTGGTAGATTTTCTTTTGAAGAATACTGGTGGCATATGTTTGCTATCATTATTTAAATAATGGCTTACAAAGCAATTCTAGATTATGACTATTGAATTTTCATAATATTATTATTGAATTTTCAGTTACTTGCCATTTGGTGGCGGACCAAGGAAATGTGTAGGTGATATGTTTGCTACTTTTGAGGTAAACAATTCTTCCAATTATTTGGGGTTCACATCAGATAATTTTGAAATGGAATTTTGCGATATCATAAGCTTTACTAGATTTTAGTAACTTAATTTAGTTGTATTAAGGCCTTCTTCTTTTTCTATATTTTACCTTAGGCTTCTTGGAATATATAATATTGTTTTTCCCATGAAAACAGAGATTTGTGGCTTTCCCAGCCAATGCATGCACCAAGAGGATGCACATCCTACACAGTCATATGTTATGCGACTACTGAGAATCCCTAACATTTATGTAATTTATGCGTAGAATGTGGTGGCAACCGCAATGCTTGTCAAGCGGTTTGATTTTCAGATGGCTCCAGGAGCACCTCCGGTATGTTCCCCTCAGCTTTCTGGTTCATCATAACTAATAAATATATTCTCACATCTATGAGAACTATTATAGGTCGAGATGACAACCGGAGCAACGATTCACACAACTAAAGGGTTGAACATGACTGTTAGTCGGAGGACAAAGCCACCTGTAATTCCAATTTAGAGATGAAAGTTGTTTCCGATTCACAAGGAAGTGCATGTTCTACTATATCAGTGGCTGTTTCCACTGCTGGTATTGCTTCTAGAGAAGACCAACACCTGGAGGTGCCGATAAGTCAAGTCTGATACATAACGAGTATGTTCCCATCTCAGATCTATTTGAAAGTTCTACTGGTTAATTTTGTATCATTACTTTGTCAAATGTTTTCGTGAATCCACTTGATTTATTTGTCCCTTAATTCATCTCTAGCCTTTACTAATACCTTCTCTAAAAATGTACGTTGTTTGGCTCGCCAGTGCGAGAAGGCAGGCTGTCTTGATGAGGTGCCACCAGGCTGATCTATTGCTACTACTTGTTCTCTCATTTGCCAAGAATTTTATTCCATGGGAAATTCACACACACACACACCAGACCATGTTTTATCAACATGCATTCAGTGTTTCACATTTTTAATGGAAATGAAATGTGGCTACTGGATGAAAGAGATCTGAAATTTTAACAAGTTTGTATTCGGTGATTATGTATTTCCAAAACGAAATCGATGCCTGAGGATAGTTCAGAAAGCAAAATTATTATTGTGATTTATATGTTACTCACATATCTAGTATAAGCTTGAAAGCGGTTTGTGGAACTTATTAGGAAAACCATTCCCCAATCCCAATCAGAGCTGGCTGTAGCTTAGCTTTCATGACAATGGTATGTGTTCTCGTAGCAACATAGAGAGAGCTTGGCTGTTCGATGTTATTTACCAGTTATCCTATGGCTAGAAAAATTCTGAACCATTTTTGTCCTCTATGCTAGGTGTGTTGGTCATCTGTCTTGTACTCCCTCTGTAAACTAATATAAGAGCGTTTACATTACTAAAGTAGTTATCTAAATGCTCTTATATTAGTTTACGGAGGGAGTAGATGACAAGATAATGATCTCTCTATTTTGAATTACTTTCCTCATAGTTCTTGTCTGGCTAAATCAGCATTCAACATGTCCAGTCTACAAAGGTACACCGTGCGTGGTGCAAGTTATATCAGTGGTAGTAATTAATCCATCCATGCTCGCCCGAAGAATCAAGGCCAGACCCTTCTGTGTCGGTGCCTGTCTGCTCGATGCATTCACGGAGAAATTTGTTGAGATCAATGAGACCAACTAGTCGAACCAGTTTGAATCTTGTAGCGTGTCGTCTATGGATGGAGGAAATGACCTGAATTTCGCCATATATACCCTTGTGAACGACAAATAGAACTCGACGCATGCTTGATCTAAATCGTACTCATACTCATAGGCCAATACTAGCTACAGCCCAAGACCATTTTGTATGGTGGTTAGGTCTGTCAGCCCAAGAACTTTTGCCTGCTATAAGGCATGAAAACAAAAAAACGTGTAATTGGATTTGGGTAGTTTGGCACAGGACCGGAGTCGTGCCAAGGCGACCGGACGTGATTCCGTCGTGCTAGAGGCGTGCCTAGCAGGCTCGTCTATCGGGGGAGCTATGTATCGCCTAATGTGAGATGATAGCTCATTTTGCCACTGGCGCGAACGCTAGTAAACCGGTCCTGTAGCTTCTACGGAGTGGTTTTGACAATCTTCTATGGACCGGTACAGACCGATTTAAGGAGCTTTTTTGTGATTTTTTTGTGTGTTTTCTTTAATGGTACCTTTATTTATTTTTCTTTTGGGTTTTCCTAAAAAAATGTTTTTCAAATACATGCAAACTTTTTCCAAATACACGTTGAATATTCTTTCGTATACAGGTTGAAATTTTGATTGATACATGTTAAACATCTTTCAAATACACATTGAATATTTTTAAAAGTACACATTAAATATATATTTTTAAATACATTGTGAAAATTCTTTTGATGTACATGGTTTTTCATAAATGCTAGGAAATACCCTTTTAAATGTGCAAATATTTGTCAAGTGTTACAGTAATGAATGTTTTTAATGGTATGGACCTTTTCTTAAATTGTATAATCATTGTTATAAATTTCAAAAATATTTTTTGAAGGACGTGAACATTTTTTAACATTGCATGAACATTGTTTGAAAGTTTACGCACATTTTTTCGGAACCCACGAGAACGAAATTTGTAGCACCACCCATGCATTTTTATAGTATGCAGTGATCCGTTTTTGGAAATTAAAAAAAATAAGTTTCTTACATATCTATATTTAGATAATTTTGGAAATTTAAATATAAGTTTTTTTCGAATCTGGAAATTCGAATATAAGTAAAAAAGACGAAACAAAACCTCGCACTGAGAAAGAGAAAACAAAAAGGCAATGGGCCGGACCACTAAAGGCCATTGTTGAGGTGAGGGATTCCTTTGTCTCATGGGACCTCCTTCTTCGAGATTCGTATTAGCCGCGTGTTGCGGCAAATTGACCCATCTGCGCACATGGAAGCGCACAAGCGAAGCATGCGAGTCGGCCCAGTTAACGTGTTGCCTCTTTCCGGTTTTGGGAACCTTCTAGTTCGTGACCTATTTTGGGAACCTTCTAGAAGGTCCTTGAAACCGATTTGTTTTTGTTTTTCCATTTTTTTTCCTTTTCTTTTTGTTTTTTATATTTCTTTTTTCCACCTGACACCTATTTAAGCGGCTCTTCTCACCGCTAGCTTATCCTATTTTGATACTTCTGTCATTTCATCCTCGTATGGGTGCAGAACCCGTCGATGTATCGGCTGTGATACCGGAGGCTCTAGAGAAGTCGGAGGAGAGATCACTGATTGGCAAAGATAAACAGAGTACGTTACAATAAATTAATCGGTCACTTGAATATTCAAGAGCAGTGATGTAATCGTTTACCTTTTTACTTACTTATTTAGTAGTCTTAGATTTTTCATTTTGATGAGCCTCGCTTTGTGGAATTTATGAAATAATCTATTTTTACGGAATAATGAATTAAGGAAGAAAGGATATGAATCTACCGTTTACGAGAAAAGATTTCATGATACTCAATATTGGCCCCGAACACACATCAATGCATGGTGTTCTTCAACTGTACGTTACTCTCGAAGGATGTTATTGATAGTGAACCTATATTTGGCTATTTACACAGAGGAATGGGAAAAAAGAGCAGAAAAACGAACTATTATACAATACTTACCTTATGTAACAAGGTGGGATGCAAGAATTGCCTTTCCTTGATTTCAAACATAATGCATAAGAGGATCCATAAATAACCATAAGGTTTTACGTGAAAAACAAGGGTAGATTATCTCAAAATGTACGGTTCTTTTACACTTTTTTTCAAGTTTATTCTTTTTTGAAAATGATTTGAAAATGCAAACATTGTTCAGATTTCCAAAATTGTTCCCTTTTTAAAACAATTGTTCACAACGTTGAAAAATGTTCACTAATTCGAAAAAAATGTAATTTCGGAAATTTTTCGTGGTTTTCAAAAATTTCTAAGGATTTCCAAAAAAAATCTTTGAATTTTTAAATATGTCCGTGTTTTAATTTTTTTAGGGGATTTCTCAAAGTTGTTCATTTTTTTCAAACTATGTTTATAGCTTTTAAAAAATATTCACACTTTAAAAAATAGTTCATGTACGTCAAAATTATTCCTCAATTTTCAAAATTTTGTTCAGAATTTCACAAAATATTCACATTATTTTATAATTGTTCATGCCTTTTCAAAAAAGTATTCGGTTTTTACAAAAAATGTTTGGGATTAAAAGACAATTCCCAAATATTAAAAAATTGTTTGGAATTCCAAAAAATCTATTTTTAATGAAAAAATTTGGATCTGCCACTTGTTCATATAACATGTGACCACCATTTAATGAGCGTGAGATCTGCGGTTTGATCCCTGCGAGGCACCAAATTTTTGTCACGCGTTTTACTTCACTCCAACGAGGCGCGCTTGATTAGCCCCGCAATGGGCCGGTTCACACGAGGGGCGCACCCTGTGCGAATCGCCGCCAATTGGATGCAGAGTGCGGCATATAGGAGCTCCACTCCTATTCCGTGTAGTGCGCGCTGAGAAGTCGCGAAATACACACCCCCACCAATGTGCAGGGTGGGATGCCCCTGTTTTTTCATCTCGGTTTTCTACTTTTTCTATTGTGATTTTTTTCTTCTTTAAAATAAATCCGGATTTAAAAAACGTTCCCAATTTCCAGCAAAAACAAATTTTCTTAAACAATTGGTCAGCAAATCACAAAATATGCATTAATTTCAGTCATGTTTATGATTTTTGAAAATAATCTGGAAATCATAATATTTCCATGAATGCGGCATTTTTTTTGTAATTTTGAATAAATATTCGCATGTCCAGGAAAGTGTTCGTGAATAAAAAAATGTTCTGGGAATAAAATGTTCACGTATTCAAATAATGTTAGTGAATTTGAACAAATGCTCACTAATTCAAGAAATGTTCATGATTTATTTGCAAAATGTTCACAAAATTAATAAAATATTCATGAGTTTGAAAACAATGTTCCAGATTTTCATAAAATGTTCGTCGAGTCAAAAACTGATCAATGATTTCAGAAATCTTCATGTCAAAACATTTCATGCATTTTGAAAAAATTGCCGTCAATACAAACAATTTGTCGCAAATTTGAAAAATTGTTCCCAATTTTCAAAAAAGTTACGCGTTTGGTCAATATTTGACGACCACCATGCCAAATATGATTTGCCTTGGTCTTAGTGTAGCACTGGTACGACATGATGGATAGATGACGCACATTATCGAGTCGCGAACAGAATTTTGGCAAATCCAGTTTACCTTTTTTTGCGACAAATAGTAGCCAAAATGCACAGGGAACGACAGAGTGAGCGACGAAGTGGCCGGCGCACTCATCATACTTAAGAGCCACCTGGTTTTGGGGACCTTTTTGAAGGATCCTGGTCCATTTTAGGAAGCTTCTGAACAAGTTGGTTTTGGTTTTGTTTTTCATTTTTGTTTTTTTTCTTATTTTTTCCTTTTATGTCTTTTTTAAATTAGCCTTTTCATTCAAGAATTTGAAAAAATATATCTGAGTTTTTGTGTTTTTAAAAA